TAAATTTAGCTCGAATGTTTGAATGGACAGATGGACAGAGCCGGAGCCCACGCTGAGCAGAGCTTGTTGCGTAGACCCCGACCCCTACCGTCCGATCGTGCAATTCTGGGTAACGGGAGGATTTAGATGCCAACGTTTAACGTGCCCTTCAAAGCCGGACACGGCCTGTCCCACTCAACCTGGCTGCGGCTGCTCCCACCAACCGCAGACCATCTCCGTCAGGAGTCTCAAATATCGAGCGCCGGAGCGTCTCGAACCCGGGCTCTCACTACCGGGAGTCCAATGCTCTACCAACTGAGCTACGGGACATTTTCAGCTCTTCTTAATGTCCCGGCCCGGACGAGTATAACATTGCTATCTTTTTATGATTAATACAATGGTGTAGCACACATTTCCAACTGTTGCGTACGTCCATGAACATTAAATGCGTTTCCGGTGCTCCGCACCCCATATTTTGTTCCTGTCTCTATATTGTATTTTTCCGAGTGTTTCGAACAGGCTTACGTGTTGAATCGTTCGGTCGGCTTGTGGTCCCTTGTTACAAGTGATTTTGTGTGCGGACAGGTCCGGATGGTTCCGAGGCTGCCACCGTGTCGGAGGACCGGTAGCCTCGCAGGGGGCCACCAGTCCGGCGTGCAGTCGGACGCCCAGTCGGACGCCCAGTCGGACGCCCAGTCCGACGATCTGTCTGACGCCCAGCCCGACGATCAGTCTGGCGCCCAGTCCGTCGTCCTCACGAGGATGATGACGCTGCCAGGACCGGTGGCTATGCCGACGTCTCGTAAGTCTCTCCTTCCCCTCCCTTTCTCTCTCCCTCTACCTTCTTTCTGTTTTGGTCGTTTTCCTGTTTCTCCAACACGCCCTCCTACCTCATGTTACTCCGCTCACAATAATTCTGTTCTGTCGCCAACATTTTTTTATATAAATTTAGCTCGAATGTTTGAATGGACGGATTGACAGAGCCGGAGCCCACGCTAAGCAGAGCTTGTTGCGTAGACCCCGACCCCTACCGTCCGATCGTGCAATTCCGGGTAACGGGAGGATTTAGATGCCAAAGTTTAACGTGCCCTTCAAAGCCGGACACGGCCTGTCCCACTCAACTGACTTCAACTGGCTGCGGCTGCTCCTACCAACCGCAGACCATCCCCGTCAGGAGTCTCAAATATCGAGCGCCGGAGCGTCTCGAACCCGGGCTCTCACTACCGGGAGTCCAATGCTCTACCAACTGAGCTACGGGACATTTTCAGCTCTTCTTAATGTCCCGGCCCGGACGAGTATAACATTGCTATCTTTTTATGATTAATACAATGGTGTAGCACACATTTCCAACTGTTGCGTACGTCCATGAACATTAAATGCGTTTCCGGTGCTCCGTACCCCATATTTTGTTCCTGTCTCTATATTGTATTTTTCCGAGTGTTTCGAACAGGCTTACGTGTTGAATGGTTCGGTCGGCTTGTGGTCCCTTGTTACAAGTGATTTTGTGTGCGGACAGGTCCGGATGGTTCCGAGGCTGCCACCGTGTCGGAGACCGGTAGCCTCGCAGGGGGCCACCAGTTCGGCGTGCAGTCGGACGCCCAGTCGGACGCCCAGTCGGACGCCCAGTCCGACGATCTGTCTGACGCCCAGCCCGACGATCAGTCTGGCGCCCAGTCCGTCGTCCTCACGAGGATGATGACGCTGCCAGGACCGGTGGCTATGCCGACGTCTCGTGAGTTCTCTCTCTCTCTCTCTCTCTCTCTCTCTCTCTCTCTCTCTCTCTCTCTCTCTCTCTCTCTCTCTCTCTCTCTCTCTCTCTCTCTCTCTCTGTCTCTGTCTCTGTCTCTGTCTCTGTCTCTGTCTCTGTCTCTGTCTCTGTCTCTGTCTCTGTCTCTGTCTCTGTCTCTGTCTCTGTCTCTGTCTCTGTCTCTGTCTCTCTCTTCTCTCTCTTCTCTCTCTTCTCTCTCTTCTCTCTCTTCTCTCTCTTCTCTCTCTTCTCTCTCTTCTCTCTCTTCTCTCTCTCTCTCTCTCTCTCTCTCTCTCTCTCTCTCTCTCTCTCTCTCTCTCTCTCTCTCTCTCTCTCTCTCGCATGCTGGCACTATTCATCGACCCGAAAAATATTTTGATGTCGATGTTGTTCACGTTATGTGCTGGGGAAGCTACAATGCGGAGACTTCGATGAATATTTTGTTTTTGACGTTTGGTATTGTATAGGTATCCTCAGTTAATTGTTTTTCCTGCTTTTACAGGAGGTCGCCAACCGAAGCCGTCAGCTATGGTGAAGCCCGTTTATCGCAAACCTGAACAAGCTGTGGCTCGTCCGGCTCGTCAGCTATCGCTGAAGAGCCGGACCTAAAACAGCGGACTTGGAAGGATGTAAAGTACCAGGTCCACAATATGATTACGACCCGCCAGAGACGGGCGCTCAGATAGGTGAAAAGGGCTTCACCAGTCCGGCGCCCAGTCCGGTGCCCGGTCCGGCCTTCACCGTTTTTGTGGCAAATACAGCATCTGTCCTTTTTTTCGCTTTTTTGTATCTATGTACGGAAGGTCTCGCCCCGCGCCGTCCGGCCGGTGCTGGATTACACAGACCGGTATTATAGGTAGCACGAAACAAAACCTTGAACTTTTAGAGAAACACCTTAATCCGGGCTTAGATTAACTGACCATTGCATCAACATGACACACATTTATCACTTAATTGTAATATGTTGCGCAATTATGACCACGTTTATGATAATAAGTGCCCAGCACAGAAGGTCATGAAACCCAAACTGCTGAGTTCCCAATGTCGTGTAGTTGACCTGACCTTGCCCCGACCCCTGACTTCAAAATTCAAATTTTGAGTGCTCATCAGACGTGTCTTGTCCCGAGCTTTCTTTTACTGTCTCGCCCGTCTAGCTGCGATTAGTGGTGCTTGAGTTATCGGCTGGGGGTGTTTAACGCCCCCCGGTCCCCAGCATGCGTTGGGTGGAGAGGCACCCAAGCAACTGCCTGGTTTAACCCTCGCCGGAGCCGGACCTATTGGTTTTCTATACATACGCGCCGGCCGAATGGGGTGGGTGCGACCCCCTCGCCGTTTCGCCCCTAATGGAGCTAGCGCGTCGCGGAAAAAAACGAGCGTGTGCGCCGTTAGGAGACGCAGAGATTGGTACCCGATTTTAAGGTCCTAGGTCAACCGGTGACCTCTGAGGTCAGGTCAAGTGCCCCAAGAGATGGATTCGGTTTTTGGCGAATAAAAATGCAAAAAAATATCACAGCCGCGATTTTCACAACATCGTGTTCGCCTTAGTCTGGCGTGTCGAATGAAATGCGGTTGATGTCAGAAGATGCGGCTTGAATCAAAGGTCAGGTATGCCAAGTTTCAGCTCGCCATCGTCAGCGTGTTCGAAACTATCGCGAAAAAAAACTTTTGGGCGGCCTCCCCTTCGGCCGGCGAGGTTTAATATTCGATACCGCTTACCTTATCCGATGACATGTCATCCCGCGAGTATAAATTTTGTGATGTCCCCTGAAATCATGTCTTGTCTGGCAACTCCGCATTCTGTTCTCAGAAACCATGTACTGTATGACGACTCCACACACTGTCCTCTGATCTCGCCTATCTGTATGACGACTCCACACACTGTCCTCTGATCTCGCCTATTGTCCTCGGATGGTCAACATCACATAACACCAGTTCAAATGGGCCCAAAGCTAACAACAGTCAATACGTAATATCAGATACTGTGCCAATGATTCATATGAAATTAGGAGTCAATCCAACGCAGTCTTCGATGTGTCCTCGAATATGACCTACGTGCGGTGTCCTCATAATTCACACTTTACAAGTATGTGTGTGTGTGTGTGTGTGTGTGTGTGTGTGTGTGTGTGTGTGTGTGTGTGTGTGTGTGTGTGTGTGTGTGTGTGTGTGTATAGGCATTATATGTATGTATATAATAACCGTTTTCACGACAGCCATCTGGTACACATTTGGTGCACGTTTGGTGCAGATTAGGTGCAGATTTGGTCAAGTTCGGTGCAGTTCGTCTCTTAGTAGCTATCAGGGTTGCACTAATTGCTTATATGCCTGCTTTGTCATATTATCTGAGAGTATCATCGATCAAAACACTAAAATAAATTCATAAAATAAAGATATTTGCTGTAAAAGAGATTAGGTGCAGATTTGGTCAAATTAGGTGCACTCGCCGGATAGACAGTCGTGAAAAAGGCTATTTATTACCTATGCCTACCTATACCTATATAAAAGAGCGTACCTACCCATAGGGCTTTGGCACCTCTTGGGATGCCACATATATTAATTTACTACTCGAGGGGGTTGTCACATATGACGAGCATCGCCTGTCAGTCATACCTACAAGGTGTCCGGAAATTATTTGCCCATCCATCAGCTCGCCGCCATAATTATTAAACAAAGAGCCCCCGGGTAAGGATTTATTTACCGATTTGTCCCGTACCCTGTCCTGTCCTGCCCCTTCCCTCATCCTCTTTGGCAGTCCATAGATCAAGATGTCCAGAGTCTCCGCACTGATGTTCAGCCATATTTCACAGGTTCCTCTAAAGTCCGTTTTCTGTGGGAGCTGGTTCAATCTTGCTGGGCTCCTCCTTCATGATTTCCCATAGGTTTCGATTGGGCCGATTGGGATTAGGAGAGAGGATTCAAGTTGACTTCCTACCTACTTCATTCTAGTTAGAGATGTCAATCGGATACCAACTTTTTGGTATACCGATACCAAACCGATATCAACTTGGTATTTGGTATTTCAATCGTATAAATGTGTTTGGTATTTTGTTGGTATCATAAACCCTCACTAATGTATACGAGGCTAAGAAATCGGTAAAAAGTTGGTATTTCCCTCATTTTCCCAAGTTGGTTTGGTTTCGGTATTTTCCCGTGGTTTTGGTTGGTATTTGGTTTGGTATCGGTATTCCGATTTTCCGTAATTGACATCACTAATTCTAGTCTTCACCATAACTTCAGCGCGATGACGCTTTGACAAAGAGTTTCTTTCGAAACACACGGTGGGATTATAGCTGAATGAACAAGGGCCAGATAATTTCAGGACGCCCTGTTCACGGCGAGCAATGGTGTTGTGAGACACACCGAAAGGAAGAGTCACTCACAACAAATCAATGTTTCACGTCCGCCTGTGACCCCTCGGACAGACAGGTGGAGGAGGGTCATGCTGCATATCTTTCGTTTCAACAGCTCTGCAATGAGTTAATTGGTGCACCTTCCGACACGCTGGCTTAACCCTCGCATGTGTGCGGCGTTTTCCAGCTTCTAATGTGTAGGGGGGGTCGGTTGGACCCCCCCTTGCCGTTTGGCCCCTGATCGAGCTAGAGCTTCGCGGAAAAAACGAGCGTGTTGCCCGTGACGAGAGGAAGCCGATGATACCCAATTTTAAGGTCCTAGGTCATTGGTTGACCTTCCAGGTCAGGTCAATGACCCAAAGTCGGGAAAATCGGGACCTATTAGAAAGTCGTAAAGTGTGGCTGCTAAGGGGTTTTCGGGGTGCTGATCACGAATATCGTGTTAGTTTTGATCACAGATGATGTCTTCAAGCATTTAGACCAGGTCGGGTCAGGTCAGGTCAGGTCAATTAGTAGGCGTCGTGACGGGTATTCGTAGTACGTGTCAACCGCCTCTGACAGCTTCGTAACATGTTACGAAGGCACCAAAACTACTTCGTAAATGTTCAAATGGTTGCTAAATTCGAATTCAGCTCCAAAAACTAGCCTAGAAACATGTAAAACTCGAAAAAGTGAGCCGAGGTCACCCGAGGTCACCAAAGGTCAATGACCTGACCTGACCTTCAGGTGACCTTGACATCCACCCTAATGCATGGGAGCAACATCAAATCACATGTTTGAACGTTTGAAACCACGAAAAGCTTGCAAACGCGCGGCTAATGCGAGCCGACGTACGCCGAATCGCGATTCCGGCCAAACATGGTCTCGGAAAAGAGGTCACAGGTCAAAGGTCATTTGGGTCAGGGTCATGAAATTTTCAGGGTAGGTGTCAAATTGATCAATGCGAGGGTACTGAAAGTTTCGTCGCGATCGGCCGCTTTTTACGCGAGTTATTCGCGAAAAACCATGGGGGGGGGGTCCATCCGACCCCCCCCCCCTACACATGCGAGGGTTAATTTGATCAAATGAGCTAATTGCCGTCATATATGACGTCACACAAGGTCTGAAAAGCAACAAAGAATTGATCGTAATGCTTGTGAGATGGGTCGATGAGTTTCAGAACAGATTAGGCATATCCTTGTCTATGCTGATTGCTAACTCTAGCCGGCCGAAGGGATCTTGCCTTGTCATATTTCACATCGGTCGTGAGAGCTTCAATCCTCCCATGTGATTGGTTTCTGTGGGAATCAACACAGACCGTCTCAAACATACAAAATTTGCAGATAGCGGTTTTGCCGCAACTGGTTGCTGAGCTGTCATCTGAAGTAAAACTGCGGGGTCACTCGCCGCGCCTGGGAGCGTCCGTCCATTTCGCACGGTGCATGACAGATGGGAGCGCTGCAAGCAGAGCTCGGGGAAGGGTGCGGGGGTGATCTTCCGACCAGTGTGGTGAGTTTTGACCACTCGGTGAGCGCCTGTGGCCGCAGCGGTGCCCGGGCACCAGCACCGGTTCCCAGTTGCTGAACACAGACGGGTGGCTGGGACTGTGGCGGCTGGGGCTGGACAGCGCCGGGCGGAGGAGAGGGACAGGCCACAGCGTCGGTTCCCAGCCGGCCGGGAACGCTCCTCCGTCCGGCGGTCACATCGGCTTTCAGCGGCGACAAAGCCGACGTCGAGCCGCCCTCTTAGTCCAGAAGATCGCACTCGATTCCTTTCAGATGGCCACTCAGGGCCGTCAAGGCCGTCGGACGCATCTCAGTGTACCCTTCCAGCGGCCGCAACAAAAACCCGGCCTGCCGGCCCGGCACCATCTGAATCTGTCCGGACGGGGTCCCAGGACGAGACGTCCACAGTCCATCTAGAGCGGTGGTATCTTCCCCGAGGCAGCATATCGCATCACACCATCAATACCGCGCCGACACTGCGGCTCCGGAGATCGAGCTGAATTCAAAGCAGAGGACAGTCAGGAATGATAGAGTGACAGCTGAATGCAGATTATGCAGCGGCTTGTTTTTGCAGATGTTCATGGGAGAAGGATGAAGACGTCATGGTGGAAGAAAATAGAAAAACGGGATTAGTTTTGCGCACTCTGGGCTTTGATTCACCTCGGATATATTGTGTTTGAGGTGTAGGTAGGCATTCACTAGACATTCACCATAATCAGCATTAATATTTTTATTGAAAATAGCACTGTGGTTGATACACATGTAGATGGATGCATATTCATTCATATTGCCTTTGATAATTTGTACCTACAACAATAAAAGTGCAAAGACTTAGATATGGTGCATCAAGCATAATCGAACAAGTCTCTGATATGCTGACTAAGCACATCACGCACGTCCCTGGTACGTACGAAAGCACGCCATGCTGGCGGTCTTATCGACC